CTGTTTCTTTCTTTCTTTGTTTCTTTTTTTCTTTCTTCCTTCCTTCCTTTCTTTTTCTCTTTGTTTTTTACAAATTGTTATTGCATGCAAATACATATATATTCCTATATATGCCCTATTCAGTCTGTGCAATACTACCTGTCTGTGTGTTTTCAGGCCTGAATGTTTGGCACTGGGTGACCAACTGGAGAGCTCTTCCCTAGAGAAGACCATCTCTCTCATTCTCAGCTTTTCTCAGTCCAGCAGAGATTTTTTTTAAAGCAACAATAATAATAACAATAGCAATAATAAGAATGACTAAAATATTAACAGGAGCCACATGACTGAGATGTGCCTGCTCATCATGAGTCTACTGTAACTTGGTCATCTCACTTAAAAACATTGAACAGACAAGTGGAACTAAAAACCTAGAAACAGCCCTGTGGTTCTATACTTTCTGTAAAGATTTATTTATTTTTATTTTATGTGTATAGGCATTTTGCCTACATGTATGTGTGCCCAATGCCTATAGAGGCCAGAAAAGGGTGTCAGATACTGTGGTGGTTTGAATGTATTGGCCCCCATAAGCTCATAGGGAGTGGCACTATCAGAAGGCATGGCTTTGTTGGAGTGGGTATGGCCTTGTTGGAGGAAGTGTGTCATTGTGGGGGTGGGCTTTGAGCTCTCCTCTGGTCAAGCTTCGCTCAGTGTGACACTCAGTTCACTTCCTGTTGCCTGCCCATCAAGGTGTAGCACTCTCAGCTCCAGCACCATGTCTGCCTGCATGCCGCCATGTCCACCATGGTGATAATGGACTAAACCTCTGAAACTGCAAGCCACTATGTTAAATGTTTTTGTTTGCAAGAGTCGCTGTGGTCATGGTGTCTCTTCGCAGCAATAGAAACCCTAACTAAGGCCCTGGAGCTGGAGTTATAGACAGCTACGCTCTGCTGCATGGGTGCTGGGAACTGAACCCGGGTTCTCTACAAGAGCAGCCAACGTTCTGAATAGTGAAGCCTCCTCTCAGGCCCAGCTCTCCACCTGTATTGTTAACACTTTAAATTTCTTTTTCTTGCTAACATTCTCTCTTTTTCTCCCTAAATGGCTCAAGCACTATGTCTCTAGCATTTTCCCTTGCCTTTTCGAGAACATGTGCTCTCAGGGCTATTCCACAGTGACAGGCAGAGGGGACCCTGTCATTTCTTCTCGTGGTCACCAGCTATCTTACCACTTATACTCATCAAACCTGCTTCCTCAACTACAAATCAAGAGTGGTTCCACCACCTCTAGAGCACTATGAGGACGAAGGACAGTCATATCTATGTCTGCCCTACTGTGTGATCTAGCACAGAGGAAACCCTGAGTACATGAATGCCACACCAGGGAGCAGCGTGGAGTTCTGTGTTATGTGTTTCCAAATACTGAAAATTTTACAAATTTCATGGCAGGGGTTGGTTGGCCTTCTGTTCAAAAACTGAAGTTCACTTGGCAATATGGGGGTCTTCAGAACATCATACCTGGGCTCAGGAGCCAGGGCCCACCCGAAACCTGGTGCTGGATAGGTGCAATCTGTAAAATAAACCAGAGCTGAGGCTAGGGTTTGGTGTCTCCTGTCAATGCTGTATGGTGTGCTCAGCTGCCCTCTCTCCATCAATAGGTGCTAGAATCTCTGAGAAGTCAGCAGCAAAGGGCAGGCTGTGAGCAGAGCGCTTCTAAAATCGCACAGCAACTCGGGTGAGTTCAGATTTATCTCACACTCCTAATAAATTGATTGGAGTTGGAATCACAGAATAGTAAAAAGACCCAATAACCTTCAGACACTGGGAATTATCCAGCAAATATTCACCAGAAGCACAGGGCTCTTAATTAAGTCCCTTCTCAAGTCACACGGTTCTGGGATTTGTCTGCAGAGTCACAGGACTGATGCTTGCATGTTCACGGGTGACAGTGAGACCCAGCACCAACATAAAAAGCAGGGGCCACACGGCTGAAGCGAAGGAGGGATGGAAAATTGTTTTGCTGGAGTTCAAGTGAAATGGAATTATTCCCACATATGAGCCGTGTGGATTTAGTGTTACATAAACAGAAGTTGTAGAAGCAGGTCCATTTCCCATGGCTGACGACTGGCTTTGTCTTTTAGTCTTTCCCTAACCCCTGACAGTGTGTTAGGGTAGATAACTCACCTAATGTTCCTAGGACCCAGGTATCAATCCCCAAAGAAAGTTTTCAGTTCTAAAACAGAACAAGTCAGAGCAAACACACGTCAGTCAGAACACAACATTCTCCTATGCTTTAGCTGAGGCCCTATACCAGGCTTTTCCTTTTGGGCCACCAACCAGCTCCCAAATCATGACATGGAGACTTCTTATTAGTTATGAATGCTCAGCCTTAGCTTAGGCTCGTTTCTGGTTGGCTCTTAAAACTTAACGTGTTTCTCTTCTTCTACGTTTTGCCTCAGGGCTTTTTACCTCTCTTTCCTTCTGTGTGTCTTCCCCTCACTGCCTCTCGTGGCTGGCTGGCTGCTGCCTGGCTTCTGGCCCCAAGCATGTCCCTCTCTTTCTCCTTCATTCTCTTCTTTTCATTCTTCTCCTTAGCCTAGATTTCTCCTCCTACTTATTCTTTCTGCCCACCAGCCCTGCCTATCCCTCTATGGCCTAGTTATTGGCCGTTCAGCTTTTTATTAGACCAATCAGGTGCCTTAGGCAGGCAAGGTGAAACAACACATCTTTACATAGTTAAACAAATGCAGAATAAACAAATGTAACACATCTTTACCTAGTTAAAATAATATTCCACAACAGGACCCCTGTGCCTCACCCTCTTGTTTTCCCTCCCAAATGACAGCAGCAGGTCTTAAACCTGGCTGCCCTTAGAACCATGGCAAACCCTTGGAGCTTCTGATATCCAGGACACACTTCAGAGCCCCACCGCATCACAAGCTTACAGAGCCCCCAGACCTCAGGCCTTGGACATCTGGGTGCAAAGTCAAGCTTTCAGGAGGCACCAGTTAACACTCAGTAGAAAGAGGAAGGGATGGGAGCAGCACTCGGGATTAAAGGAAGTCCTTCTCACTCCCAAACCCTATGGTAAGAACAATCTTGGATGCTTAGTATCTAGAATGCTTTTTGCTCGGTGCCACAAAGCCGAGCAGTGAATCCTTTGGTGCTAATGCTTGTCGCCCATAGCACTAAGTCTTTTTGGGGGTGGAGAGAAAATGACATATGTAGTTTTACAATCTAATGAGGATAAGAAGCACAAATCAGACTCTGATATGATCAGGAAGCTCTTGTCACTGAGGATGCCCACATTCTTCACAGCTATTAAAACATGTCCGTAGACAGAAGTTTCATATGGAGTTTACTTTCTTTGTGGCATAAGTTAGCCCCTGGGTGAGAAAATGCCCTTGCCTCGACTGCTGACAGTATGCTGTCCAAATGGGACAAGCAGGGCACAAAAGAAAGGACTGCTGAACTTTGCCAAGACAAGGTAGGACAGCCCTTCAGAAGATCCTGCTTCACAGAAAAGTCTATCAGATATTCTAGGCCTGTAGACTGAAGATAGATGCCCCAATGTTGCAGAGGAACCTTGGGTGACTGACTGTTCAGGCAGCCAGCTGTTTCTGTCATTTCTCACATTTTTTGGAAGTCACTTGCTTGCACTTCCTGCTTACTCAGGTAATATTATTTCTTTCTCTGGTCTCTAAGGGAGTTGAAGACTAGATAATTATATAGTTATAGTTTTCCTTGTTTACCAGACTCAGAAAAGAAACTAACTAAAGAGGTGTAAAGTATATAAGATTGAGAGACATAGAAAGATAGTTTTAGATGGTAATGTGAGTTGGGATAGAAAGTGAATCCTATATGCAAGATAGGATAGATAATGGAGTATTTTCTCTGAATTTGTCAAAAGCAAAGGGACTGGATATTGCTGATGTAATTATTGCCTGTATATATTGTATCTAGTTATTGTACTTATTTATATAGTTTTTCTTATATTACTTATTATCTTTTTTATTTTAGACAAAAAGGGGAAATGTGTTGATATTTTGTGTATGCTCTAACAAATAAAGCTTGCCTGAAGATAGGAAGGCAAAGCCAGCCACTAGTTAGCCATAGAGGCCAGGCAGTGGTGGCACACACCTTTAATCCCTGCACTTGGGATCTCATGCTACTGCTCCTAGTACTAGGGAGGTACACGCCTTTAATCCCAGCACTAGGAAGGTTGAGACAGGAAGTGATATGGCTGGGTGGAGAAAGGAATATAAGGAGATGGTGACAGGATCTCATGCCTTTCGGCTGAGGAGTTGGTGAGGTGAGAAGTGGCTGTGGCTTGTTCCTTTGTCTCTCTGATATTTCAGCATTTACCCTGATATTTGGCTCTGGGTTTTTATTAAGACCAATTAGGATTAGTGCTACACATGTCTCCTAATCCAATCCTTTCTTTGTGTTCAAGGACTGGAAGACAGAGGAAGTGTGCATCCAAGGAAGACAAGTAAGATTCAAATCTTTCTCCCTCATTTCCTTCCATCTGAGAAGGTCAAGGCCTTTCACTGCCCTGTACCTCAGTGTGCTAATCTGAAAAATGGGTGATGATGTCTGCTGCAAACCACTGGGGGACTGATAAGAGAACCAATGTGTTGGGTTTTACCCAGTGCCCACCTGGAGAGCAATTAATGAGTAGTTTCTTTACCTACCTAGAGGGAAAATGAAACTGTTCATTATGTAGGAAGACCCATATTGGTGGGAGGAAGGCTCTGGGATGGAAGGGTTCCTTTCATAGCCATCAGAATCCTTCTTCTAGAACAACGGGCAGTGGAAATCTTTTCAGTTCAGTTCCTGAGAAGATACTGTATTCAAATACGAGCTACAGGCCTTGGTCAGCAACTCTCTGAGCTGTCATTTTGGATGTCATCTTGGATTTCAACAGTGACAAATCTCTGCTCACCAGCAGAGATGAGAAGAGAATGTTCTAAGCAAGGAATCCTGCCAGGGTTTATTTTTGTCACAGAGACATGAGGATGGGGAAGGGGAGCATCTATGTGTGCCTGAACTTCTTAGGGCTATGTTTGAAGCCAGCTCGTGACCCTCAGTTATAGCTTTGAAGAGGTTAGAGCTGGTGTCCTCTACCACAGGGTTATGATCCAAATATGTGTACCCTGAGGCCCAGTTTCCTCACTGATTCTGCACATTGCATCAGAGGGATTCAGAATGAATCCTTCTTGCTGCCTTCTGTGATGTTTTAGAGACTAGATGGATTTGGCCGCCAGGCTTCTTATTTATTTATAGATCAGCAAACTGGGTTCCCATTGTTTGGGGTCATATAAAAGGATAATGCTTGTTTCACCTGGTAGATCAGTGCGTGGCCTGGACTGGTTTCATTTATTCTCCATCATCGAAGGAAGTTAAGAGGGTGTTGTGTGAATTTTCCTAGGTCAAGAGGAGTGGAAACACCTATATGTAGCAGATAAGACGCTAAGGGACCAAAGAAATGGCTGCATCTCATCCTATCCTGGTAAATCAACGGATTTCTTGGGATTACTTACAGGAGCATGGTGAGGGGCTGCCTATAGGAAAATGGGTGACTTAAAGGTAGCTCTGCCGCCACCCAAGTCTCACTCCAACATGGGGGGCCCAATCCCATCCAACCACCTTCTATACTCTAGAACAGACGGACGGACACACACACACACACACACACACACACACACACACACACACACACAAGACTATGTGACTGGGGAAGATTATATGTAGCTGGGTGGGGCAGGAAGAAGCAAGCAGCTGGAATCTCAAGTGAGGGTACTCCTTGCCCCTTCTGTGGGGAAGTGTTAACAGGTCTGATGATGTGAGAGTAGTCTCCTGTGGGTCATCAAGCTGATCATGTCATGCCTGGAGAAGAGAGTTCTACTGCAGGAGCCAGTTGTTCTAGACTGATGCTCAGCTATCACTGTCTACAGGATGAACACTCGTGTAGTTTTTGTGAGAAAGCCAGGGACACCCAAAACTAATTAATCTTCATTTATTATTTGAACCAAACAAGAGCTTTCTAAAACTCAGACTTCTGAGCTGCACACTGAGCCACAGACGTGCCTCATAAGGATGTGTGGGAGATTGCACCTTTTCAGTTAGATTTCACGTTGCCTTTCATGATGAGCATCATCATCTGATTGCTGTGGGATGTCTTTCTGTATGCTGTGACTATGTGTTGCTCTGATTGGTTGACAAATAAAGCTACATTGGCCTATGGCAGGGCAGGACAGAGCCAGGCATGGTGGCACATGCCTTGAATTCCACCAGTTAACCATAAGAGTCTGGAGGTCTGTATAGACAGACAGAAAGTGACAGAGCTGGGCAGAAGGAGGAAGTGATGTAGCTGGGTGGAGAGAGGAAGTGAAATGCAGATCAGAAAAGCATATAGGTATGGGTATACAGGAAGTCGGTCTCTTTGCCAGAGGATCTCCAAGTGGTAAGAATGTGGCTGATTTCTTTCTGCTTTTCTGATCTCTCAGCTTTTCACCCCAATATCTGGCTCTGGGTTTTGTTTTTTTTATTAATAAGACCATTTAGCACTTCATCCTACATCTGATTGAATTTAGAGTTTTGTTATTTCTTGCTTCAGAGGCTGAGAATCCCAACACTCATTTTTCCAGCCTCACTTGAAGTTAGGGGTAACCCAGGGTATGATGCTGAGCTGTGAGATGTAAGAGGAAATCTGGTGGTTTGTGACTGTTCTTTTGCTAGGCTGATTATGGGCGTGGACAGGTAACTCCTGATCCCCTTCCCATCTTTGTTAGGCTTCAAGGAAATTTGATATGCAGAGCTGCAGCAGTGACTTTGTGACCAGGAGATGTGAAGCACACTGGAAAAAAAAATCACAAGAAAACTGTGTAGTTTTTTTGTTGTTGTTTTGTTTTACTCTTTGGGGGCTCCACCATCCAGCTCCCAAATAAATATATGAAGATGTACGTTTATTTATGAATGCTTGGCCTTAGCTTGGCTTGTTTCTAGCCAGCTTTTCTAACTTAAATTATCCTGTTTCCCTTTAATTATGTTTTGCCTCTGGGCTTTTTGCCTTTCTTTATTCTATGTATCTTTCTTTCCTTCTTACTCCATGGCTAACTCTGTGGCTGGGTGGCTGGCCCCTGGCATCCTTCTCTCCTCCTTTTTTCTCTCCTCCTCTTCCCTCTCAAGCCTAGATTTCTCCTCCCATTTATTCTCTTGGCCTGGCAGTCCCACCTGTTTCTCTTTACTGCCTAGCTATTGGCTGTTCAGGTCTTTATTAGACCAATCAGGTGTTTTAGGCAGGCAAAGTAACACAGCTTCACAGAATCAAACAAACACAACATAAAAGAATGCAACACATTTTTGCATCATTAAACAAATGTCCCATGACATAAACAAATGTAACACAGCTGGGTGGTGGTAGTGTATGCCTTTAATCACAGCATGTGGGAGGCAGAGGCAGGCAGATCTCTGTGAGTTTGAGGCCAGCCTGGGCTACAGAGTGAGTTCCAGGAAAGGCACCAAAGCAACACAGAGAAACCCTGTCTCAAAAATCAAAAACAAAAGCAAAAAACCCAATGTAACACATCTTAAACTAATATTCCACAACAAAACTGCAAACATTTCAGCCTTGATCAAAACTCCTAAGAGTCTTCCTAAACTTGATGCGTGGAGAGAAAGATGAACTCTTGAGTTGTTGACGCCACTGCAGAGTGAATCCCTGTTACTCATACTGGGACAAGGGTCTGGTGTGCCTTTCATTTTTAAAGCTTTCTCATTTTTTTAAAAGACATGTAGAAAGTCAGTTGGACAGGATGAGAGTCGTGGGGATAAAAGAGGAAAGAGACCTGGCAGCCTTCCTTGTTGGCTGTTGGAGGAACAAGGCCAGGGCATCCAGAGCTGATCTGTTCTGGGGGCTGCTGTGCTACTCTGTCCTGCCAAGGGGGTCCTTTCCACATCTGGCCTGGCTCTCCAGACTATGGTGGATAACCCCATATGGAACCTTCCAGTCCCTCCTACAGGACCTACATTCTCTACCCTCTCTAGTGTTCCCACATTTTTTTTAACCTAAATAGTAAGTGGCTTAGGGAGTATCATTGCTTTCAATTTCGACAGAAAAGAAACAGCAATAAAGTAGCCAGAGAGGAATCATTAAAAAAAATCCAACACACCACTCCAAGGTAACTTTTCCTTCCTGAACTATTTTGGCCCAACCTCTAAGAAAGCCGCTGCCAAGCATCCACCCTATGGCTAGTGGCTCCTTATTAAAAAGCTGTCTGCTGAGTGTGGAGTTCAGAAAAACCAAGGCTGGACCACTGGGATGGCCCCCAGTGAAGCAGGACATTGTCTACTGGAAAGCTGTCTCTGGTTGCTTTGTGTGGCTTGGATACCACATTTCATGGAACCTGCCAAGTGCTTATGTAGCTTTAGGGACTCGCCCTGGCTGGGGCAAGGAAAGAAAGAAGAAAAGTCGGACGCTGAAGAAACCACCCCCACACACATACACAGAAGAGCGGGATCTAGTGGACTGTGCTCTGTAACGGAGAAACCCGAGGCCCCCAGAAGCTCAGCCTGTTCATTATATACAGTTGAACAGGGAGGCGGGTTACTGAATATGGCTGAACAAGCAGATGGAGTCATTACATACAGCTAAGAGGCAGGGTTATTAGAGCTGAACCAAGAAGCAGGCTTAGCTAATCTCAATAGGACCAGTCTCTGTTGGGGAGCAGTATTCAGACCATAAACATCTGGGGGTGAGGGACAAAGCTATGGTGGAAATATTCTGCACACACAGTTAACATTCTCACTTGGTTCCCTAGAAAGGCTTTGTGACCCCTCTGACCCTTACCCTGGGAAGGCTTTGCCATTCCCATGGGCCTGAGGCACTGGAGTCCTTGACATGGCCAGGGATAGATCAACTCACACACTCACTAAGGACCTTGTTCACTCAGGGCTTCCTCTGCTCCTCACAACACTCCTTTGAATTGGGCACTAGGGGTGCATGAAGAAATGGGGTAGGAGTTGTATCTTAACCTCTCATGAAAACAAAGCACCAACTTTGTTGGTTGCTCTCATTTGAAAGCCAGTGGTCATCATTTCCATGGTTCTTCCTGGCTGATAAGCTCTAGAGCAGTGGCTCTCAACCCATGGGTTATGACCCACAGGGGTTGAATATCAGATATATATTTAATTACGATTCACAACAGTATCAAAATCACAGTTATAAAGTAGCGCTGAAATAATTCTCTGGTTAGGGGTCAGCACAACACGAGGAACTGTATTAAAGGGTTGCAGCATTAGGAAGACTGAGAACCATTGCTATAGAGTCAGATGCAGGGTTTCACACGCAGGCTGCCTGCCTGCTTGGGCTCCCTGGCATATCTCACAGTGTTGGCATATGACAGGACCTCATGTGGAGCATTCATTATACAGTCAAGGATGACCCTGAACTCCCGATCCTTCACCTCTCCAGGGCTGGAATTACCGAACTGTCTATTTTCTTCTGGACCTTGCAAAATCTGCAACCAAAGTGGCTTGGATATGGAAACCTGACCAGGGCTTTGAGAGAACGAAGAAAGGGAAGCCTCCCAGATAGATACATGTCCAGAACAGCTGGAGTCGGGTGGGGTGTGTGCACTCTGATGGAGGGGCACCTGCTACTGCCACACCCCTGAGCCTCAGCTTCCTTATATTGTTCAGCACAACATGGGGGGGGGGGCTGGCTACTTTTGGAGGTCTCTGTAGTCCAGCAGTTTCAGACTGTAAACATCTGGGAGGAGGAAGCTGCAGTGCTGGTCTTTGTACACACTGATCACTTCCTCACACTTGGACCTCAGAGGAAAAAGCTTTGACATCTGAGCCTGACCCATATGAGGATGGCTGTGATATTCAGTGGGGCTGAGGCCTCAGAGTCCTCACCCACGTCATTAATACACATTCACTCAGGACTTCCCTCACTCAGGGCTTCCTCTGCTCTCTACAGCTGACTGCCCTGTTTCAGGCCTTTTTTCTTCTTTTTAATGCTGCAGTCATTTTCCCAGACAGATAAAAGCAATCACTTTATTTTGGGGAAACGCTTAAAGTCTCTTCCGAATCGGCCTTTGGACTTTCTTTCCCAGCTACATATATTTAGAACAGGGGGCTCTATAGGAACCAGAGGTTGATCACGTTTACCTCAGAGAGGATGTCATCCTTGGTGTGGCACTCACTGGGTCACTGCAGGAGTCTGGGTGTCAAGCACTACTCAACACCACATCCATCTGGGAGTTGACACAGTTGAAGTGCCAGGGCACCAACCGAATGACCGAAGGCCATTGATAATAATAACCTGCTTCCAGAACCTGTGCCTTTACCCCTGCAAACACTATTGAGGATTCTTGCAGGGGATTCTGACAGAGAGAGGAAAGGACACCCCCATCTCCATCCGTACCCAGTTGCCTCACCTGTTGCCAATGTTAACCTCCACTTGAGAGGTGGACATAGAGTCTAAGGTCACCTACCCCTAAAACTTTTACCCAGTTACCCCTCTTCCTCAGTTACCCCTAAAACTTTAAATGCCCTTAATTTCCATAACCACTGTTCCCAGCACCAGAGCATCTGAACATGTAGAGTTTCTGCCCGGTTCCCCACCCCCACATCTGAGCCTCTCACAGAGTGGCATCCACAGATGAGATTCAAATCCGAAAAAAAAAATCTCACTCAACGGTATTTATAGCATACTGATCACTGATCGTGTTTTGCGAACTTCATTCTTGCTTTAACAGTAATGCCACGGGATAGCAGCAGCGGGGGGGGGGGGGGGGACGACACACAAACACACACACAAACACACATACACACACACACACACACACACACGACCAGGAAGCAGCAAGTAGCGCGAACCTCAGCAGAAGAAGAACCATGCATCATCCAATTCCAGAGCTCCAGGCTGCGCCTCCCTTCCTCCTTCCGTGTTCGACATAGCCGTTATGAAGCTGTCTTCGATCTCCTGCCTTATTGTCTAAGTTCTGGACGCAAACTGCAAAAGAGTTCCTGCACTGAGCGTGAGAATAAGGCTCAGTCGTAAAGCATTCTTCTAGCTAGCATACACGAGGCTCGGGGTTCCTTCCTCCGCGATCTCTGCTCACCCCTCTCTCCCCGCAACACACAGTAGAAACAGCATTCTGGGTTGACTCTTAGGACCCCAGGTCTGGACTTGGTTCTTATCTGCTACACCATAATAATGTCTCCTGGAGCCTGGAGAGATGGTTCGGGGCTAAAGGCATTTGCTGCTCCTGCAGAAGGCCCAGTTCGGTTCCCAGCACCCACAAGAGGGAGAACAACCCCCCTTTAACCTCAGTTCCAGGAGACCTGCAGCTTTCTTCTCGTTTCTGCCGGCACTGCACCCACGTGGTGCATAGACATGTATGCAGGCCAACACTCATATGTATGAAATAAGAATAAATCTTTGGTGGATGGTGTTAAGAGGTCGGCCCTTATTCCTGCACATGCGTAGTTCAGAGTCTTGTTTCTTACGTCATCAGCAGGCGCTGGCGACTATGTAAGCACATGGCGTGTTCGCACAATCTGCACCTTAAAAGCGGGACGCACGCCCCACGCTCCCTCTGCTCTCTTTGCTCTACTCCCCTCTCCCCTGACCCCGCCACCTTCCTCTCTCTCCAGGCCTGGCTCTCCTCTCCCCTGCTCCCCCAAATAAAGCTCTCTGTAATTAGGTAGTCATGACCATGGCTCGTGACTTTTCTGCCAGTAACCAGCGCCGCCACCAGCGCAGTTTATCATTCTTTCAGATGGTAAAGAAAATGATCAATGCCGGGCAGTGGTGGCGCATGCCTTTAATCCCAGCACTTGGGAAGCAGAGGCAGGCGGATCTCTGTGAGTTCGAGGAAAGGCGCAAAGCTACACAGAGAAACCCTGTCTTGAAAAACCAAAAAAAAAAAAAGAAAGAAAGAAAGAAAGAAAGAAAGAAAGAAAGAAAGAAAGAAAG